ATGAGGCATATCCAAAATAAACTAACTGCAGCATTCTACATTGCAATGGATCCTATTATTCTAGTTTCGTCGTCATGACGATATTCAAAGACAGACTTTTATGGAGTAAAACAGTATTCACACTTCACTCAATGCTTAAACACGTAGGGACTTCATGATAAACAAGAAGAGTTTTACCGCATAAGGTTGATTAGGATAGTGTACGTTGATCCATAGAAGTAGTGAGTTTGGCCTATTGCGTTTAGTCTCTATTAACATCACATATAAAACATAAAACAGAGTTCTTAGAGCGTCCAAAATTCATGTATATTTTTTTATAAACACACTTTATCAGGAAAACGTGTTTATATTATTAATCTCATTAGAGGATAAACAAATATTTTTTGGCATTGAGATAAAAAGATAATAATTTATTAGTTGCTGAATGACATGTCTTTTGTAAATGCCGGGACCTCCAGATCTAAAGACATCAATGTCTCAAGTCCGCCCTTTGTTTTATGTCCTTTGTTTCGTTTTGTTGGAAACCTCGTACGTTTTCTGCTTAATTTATTGATCTTCAATCCATGATTCACGCATAGATCTCCGTGTTTTTGCACAACCTTGATAAATGAACCCACGCTTTGCTCCGGAGCAGTCAAATCGATGTTAGTGTGCAATAAAAAAAATGTACATGACATTTATAAAAGGCGTCCATCTAGTGTTAAAGGTACAGCTATTATTGCTGTTTTGTCTAGATTAGCAAAAGCGGCACGTCTTTAGGTCCCCGACACCCATTCCCCAAGACAACGAGGAATGCTAAATTTCGTTAACGCATAGATTTTTTTTCCGAGGCTGCCAATAAATGGAATATTTTTTCTAATTGCATTGAAATGTGTACCGATTTTTTTGTGATTAAAAGATAAAACAATGCAGTTTTGTTTTAATATATATAATTTGTAATGTTATGCTTCTCATGATTTAAACTAAAAGAAGGGAAAACTGAGGTCATTTTCTATATCGGAGAGAAAAATGCTTTACTGATGAAATGTTTAACAAAGGTTCTGATCTGCGGCGTTATAAATTTCACATCAAGCGCCATTATAACTTCAATATTTGAACGATGACATATTCATGTAAATAAAACAACAAGGAAAACCAAATTCTCAACAATATCCTGGTATGAAGCCATTGCCGTGATCACCTGGGCAAACGAAGAATATGACCAGGTGTTCAGGAAGGGTAAAAGTCTCCTTCTACATATACTACACCCATTATGAAACTCTAATATCACTCTTATCATAAGTCATGTCACGCCCCCAAAGAGAAAAACGGGGCACTGGCAACGAAACAAACGTTACATAATTATTGAACAGAACCAGAGGCAAGAATGTGCTCTTTAGTTTGGAATCATGCTGAAGAACTATGAAACATGTTATAGAAAAAGGTATATGATAAGAACAATGCAGTAAAGCATTACATGGCGAATAGACACGATGTGCGAGATTCTAGCTGATTAGGTTACCAGCATGCTATACCACTTAGATATCGAAACACAGTTGAGAGGAGATGAGACGGAATGCTTGATCCCTTGGGAAATAACGGTATCTTGCTGCTCTATCTTAACAACAATGGCGATGAATGATGTGGGCTGGCTGGCTGGCTGTCCTGCTGGCCTTTCGTGCACGTACACTTATCTTCAAGTGACAATATATTGCCGATTCTTATTGTCTTAATGGACCAACAGAACATGGTGTTACATAACAATGCCATGACGTAAGACTTGCCGATGAGATTTGAACACCTATCTTTATGTGACAACAGGACACGTTAGAATTATTCTGGTATCGAACTATTCAACATTGAACTTGCAAAGCAAAATTGCCTAAAATGAGTCAATACAAACAAGAGTAAAATTGCAAAGTCCACAGGAACAAAATGTAACAGGAACTTTGTGTTACAAGCCATGATATTATCTCATGGTAAACAAAGATCCTAGCAAAACTTCTTCTGTCATTTCAAAGTTTTACATAGCGAACCTGCGTTATGTAATTTTGTAAATCAAATTTAATTTTTATCTATTCGCATCCCCTAAAGTATTCACTCTTCTTTATTCAGGTGTTTGAACTGTGTAATATCGCAATACCAACTTACTCCATTTTTATCTTCGACGTTAGAGAGCCAATGATTCATTGGCAGTGTTATTTCACACGCAAAAGCCAATTATCCCTCGCGCCACGCAACAATCCCCATTCTCACCAATGAAGTCACAGTTTTATTTCATTTCTGTCAATATATATCCATGGCATTAGATTTGAATCTTAGCATCTACTTTTTTCCTTCGAAAATAAAAGAATTGATTAAGGTTTGCTCGTATTCTAATTTCAGGGACGTGTTTTGATAATCTACAGGAAAGAAGAAGAATCACAGGCTTTCAATTAAAATTTGCCTCAAAATGAAAAGTAAAACATCTTCATCTTTCTTTAAAGATGGGTTACAAATCTGCCACACATTAATGTTTTAAAACTACATATATTTGTGCTACGTCTAACCATTCGTTACCTTACTCAATAAGGGTGGCGTTGGTCAAAATACATGTAGACCTAGCCTCCCTGTATAACACCTTTTACTTACTTCTAACAAACCTAAGTAAACTCCTTCAAAATAACATCATACTGTTAGTGTATTAAATGAATACATGCAATTCCAGTTACCAGTTTTATTATGTTCCCGGAAAGGTAACCTCTTTTGCGCCCCCAATATAATTGGATAATATATATTAAAAATCATGATGTGGACAACCTAAGAACGACAATAATGTAAAGCTTAAGTAAATCTTTGTTATGCTTCTGGAGTCTATTTAAAGTGGTAACATTTCAATTCAAACACACTAATGTTTGTTTCTTGAAGCAAGTTTTGTGCTTTAAACTGAACTGTATACATTAGTTTATCGGATCTGTTTTGAGGATATAAGATCAATTTAAAGAAATTACTGATGAAGTGTTACTTCTGTTTTTTTCCTAATGAAAACAAATTTCCTTTGTCTGGCTTAGGGGGAAAAACACAAAAATAAAATAAAAAATCAAACTTCCAAAAAAATTGTAGCTCGAATTCAAAATCGATGCAATCATGGTAAAACATGAACAAACTACACAGACACCTTTGCATGCGTACGAGGATTTTAGCGTTGAAAACACATTTTATGTTTGTTATTTCATTTAGGATTTCAACAGTAGCCGATGTCTTTTCGTTTACCATACTGAAATATATGTGAATGTAGAAGTGTTCGTCAATATACGAGACTTGGTCTGTATTCAGCAGTGTTATGTCGGCGAGGGAAGAAATCCGTCCATGACTGGTTAATCAAAGTGACTATCACATGCCATTTTACGTACACAAAAATACTTTTCATTGTTAAATATTATGACACAAAAATTGCAAAATAATCAAAACGTTGACTTTCCTATTTTCCGACATTTTTCCTTAAGTGTCGAGTAACTTTGAAATGAACCGGTCTAATATCACGGGCACTGCTGGTCAATTTACGGTCTAGGTTCAAAATCATTCGAATTGCGATAAAAATAACGATAATGATTACTTTCGTTCAGATTATAATTTTGTTTGGTGATGCTGGTCATTTTGTGAATGTTCGTGTCAAGCCTGAAAGCAATATGAGCAGACACCGTCGAAAATTACAAAAATAGAAAGCATGTCAACCGCAGCGAATCTGGAATCGTTGATGGCGTAAATAATGTGCCTTCACTGGAGGGTAATATATCATTTGCACATGAAATACACATCTGCGATGGAAGATGATGAAATACCCAAAAAGGGTTTTAAAGATCCCCCTGCATTCCAAGGCTTCTTTTACACATTAGTCGCACGTTACAATGCCCATACTGTGGGCTACACAAGGTCTAACCTTGATTTCCCAACTGCATTACTATTTAATATGTTATGAGATTAAATAGCAGTTTGTGTGAATGGAAAGGATCAAACAGAGGAGTCGACGAAAACTTGTTTAATAAAATTGCTGTTGTCAAATTGAATTGTTGTCTTGTTAATTGTTGTGAAGGTTCCTTTGTATTTTGTTATTGGTTCGGCTATAGAAGCAATAATATTTAAATCACATTTCATAAGGAAAGCTATTTCAGTCGTTGTTCTTGCTGCATAACCCCTTAATCCTGGCCGAATTAAATTTGACAATATAATTTGCTTAAATGATACTAATGAAAAGGAAATTGATCAAATTATCAACGAAAAAACGCTTCGAAGTATGGAAAGCGGTGTAGCCAATGCATGAAAATAAAGTAGGAAGCATTCTCAAAGGAAAAGTGGCATTTAACATCGAAGATGTTATAGGATTATTGTCTTTAAATGAATTCGTTGTATCAGTTATTCGTATTTAAGCAATCTGTCATGGCGTCAAATCATATTAACGTTTTAATTGAGTAGTTTCGTGTGAATTGGGCTGCGTTTGGTGAAATGGAAAAGAGTGACATTATGGATAAAAAAACAATGCTTTATATATATTTTTCATATTATTGTATAGGTAAACAATAATTGCAGATACAGATGAATTATTTTTGCAATCATTTCAAGCGACAGAAATGCATTGAAAGTAAACGTATACATTGTTAAGCTTAAAATCCTTTTTTCGATTGTTTTTCTTATCTTTGGTGATGATTAAACACATATTTCATTTTGTAATATCACTTTTCAATTATGACGTCACAATGAAGAAATTGATTCAAAATTCGGATTAAACGACGTAGGCGAATTGTCAGTTCTTTACGATACTTGTTTAGCATTCCACCTTTCTGCAAATACATTTGATAATGTGGTTATAACGATTTTTACTGTTTATGTTTTATATTATGATGTTAATGAAACTTGGGAAGACGTTTTTTTTTGTATTTCACTTGTAATTTTAATATATTTACATTGTTATTTTTGTTTTGTTTTGTTTCATTCCGCATTTTTCAACATTAAGACTTTGAATTGTTTTTCTGTTGTCTTTCTAGACCATGCGGCCTTGGTACAAAATGAATCTAAATATGACTCGTCGAGTATACCGGACGAAACCGATGCACTGACGTCATCATGTTTGTCCCAGAATGACGTGTATTCCAACCTCAACACTTGCGATGATTCCATAACGTATACAGAGAGTTTGGAGGTAGATGTCATCTACTCTGCCCCACCTCTTCAGGATTTATACCGTTATCACGTGTTCTTTTCACATTCTCCAGAGGACCAATCATGGGTTTTCGATATTGTCACAAGGCTCCAATCAGAACCGTACAACTACAGGTGCTACTACAGCGGGAATTTCAACCAACAACAACCGAATATTTTACCAAACGAACTATGTGCTGCAATGTTAAGCGAGCGTGTCGTGGTGGTTCTCACGAGACATTACGTGAAATCAACGTGGTTTGAATTCCAGGATGTTCTTCAAAATTTGACTCAGTGTAGTTTGTATAGACAGCGCATGCTCACTGTGCTACTAAGGGAATGTTCTATACCAGAACCACTACAAAGTATAGGCTTTTTGGATGCTAGGGAGAGTGACTTTTTCAGGTGTCTAGTTCGTCATTTAAAGAGTGGTAAGTATGTAAATCACTTATTAATATTAATAACTTGACACTGTTCTTGTGTTAAATTGGTGAAGAAAAGGGTCGATCATAATTAAACGAGAACCTTTTACTATACACAATTAAAGTCCTTATAGTTAAATTTTGTCCTACTTAACACTTCGTTTCGTTTTAAATTTCTTCTGATATTGTTGAATTTTGAGCAATAATTATTCTCGTAATTATTCGCTGGGAAAACTCATTTGCAGATTTAAATATTCGGCAAGTATAAATTCCATAACTGGTAACCTCTCAATTGTTAAGCAGGTATTGGTAAAACCTTCAGAGATAGTTTGCAAGAATAGTTCACACTAAAACGAGGTTTTATGATGATCCCTGACTCCTTGTTATGCTTGACTTATTTGCTCATGGACGAAAACGCTGAAAGTAAAATAAGGTGAAATACACCATATTACATGAACGGGACACCAGACTTCCCTATTAGTGTATAATTCTTGCAGAGAATGTAAAGCTTACTCAAACATCTGAAAGAGCAATACTTTATTACCGTGCTGCTAACTTTCGATATTTGTTTTATATGCAGAATAAAACTTATATTTCTTATTTCTAATGCATAGCAAAAGTTATAAAATTTCCGTAAATACCATCCTCAGTATGTAAAAGGTCAAAGATATACAACTCGAAGTTTTTGACGAGCCGTAAAGAATGCAATGATTTACAAAAAGTCATGCATGTACCAGTGGGCCCCTTAAAAATAACAATATGTCTTGTCAAAGGCTGGGTCAACATTCGGCCACTCATTCCATTTTTTTTTTTCGCCATATGTTGATTCATAAAAATGAACAATAACTGCATTAATGATTTTGCATTATTACTACTGATAATCGTAGTGGACCTCAGTGCATAACACCAGTGCGGGTTGAGTGCCGGGGTATCATTAAAATATGTCAGATAAATGTCACAGGACATTTTGGAAATGAATTATTAAAGTGTATAGTGTATAAGCTAACTGTGAGTTTAGTACTGAATATGTCATATCGATATACATTAAGTAAGCGAAGTGATGCTTTTAATTAGAAAAACATGCAAAATTTTTCAAAAACAAAATTTTAAATATATTCAACATTGTCAACTTGCTTATGCAAAGTTCCAATGGTAGTGTATATTTTATACTTCTTTAAAAAAAATCCATATATATATATATATTCCGTCTACATAATTGTTTTTATGTACTTACAAATCCGGGAAAAAAACTTTAGCAGATTTGATTCTTATGATCTTGAACGATGGTCACCAATGTGTACAAAACTTATATCCATTCACATGAACAACCTACTTGCAAAATATTTGTGTTATGAAGAAAACATAATTTAAAGAAAAAGTGGAAAGAAAGCTATCTTTTCTTTTCTTTGTTTAAATCAGATGTGTTATCAGTGTTATCAGATATACCAGTTGTCATTATATTTTTGGAATTCCTGATGATGAAAGATAGTAATTGGTAGCCAACTTTTAAGCAAGTATAAACAATTTGTTCGTTTAAAAACTTAAAGATACTATTCTGCTTCAATTTACAATAAAAAGATCAAACAAATCGATCTTGAAATAGTGTACTATTTGGTATAAAAAATAGCTGGAATATGTTGCACACGATGATGATATAACGTTATAGTAATTGTGTCATTTAAATGCTATAGGAGGAATTGTATTACCACACCTTTAACACCCACACATGTGTAAGTCAATGAGCTATCATTTGTCATAAATTAAATTCTGAAACATTTTTTTTTTATTTAAACTTCATATACCTATACCCTTTTGCATCTATATTGTTTTGAAATTCCAAGCAGGGTCCGACGCTAATGTTAAATCTCCATAGGCGTTGACTCTGCCTTCTGTCACACTTCCTCTGCCATTGCGATCATGTTGCTTTGTTACTAAGGATTACAAAGTCGTTCAGCATACCAGGTAACGCAATCGGACTTTATCAATACAGATGAAAGCACCTTTATTTAGTATTCATCACCTCTGAACTTGTTGAATACATAGTATTGTGTAAATAATACCCCTGACGCAGTCGAACTCAGTCACCGTTCGTTTGATTCTGCTCTCATACTATCTTCTGAATGCGATTATGCATGTAATAACGTAAACATGGTTTCAACACTGCAATAAGTCGATAAGTCAAGAAAATGCTTTGAAAGGTTATAATAGATATGTTCTTTTTATTTTACAAACCTCACATTAATGTAACGTAACCGTGAATCATTGAATATCCGTGTAGACATATCTCGTGTACAAGATACTTGTAAGTAGGTAGAATGTTGTCTGAGAAGTTATCACTGTCATATTTAAATATAACAAAGGAAATCTTACACAAAAATATCTCCAGAAAAATACGACATAACTAAGACTTTGATTATTTTTGAACATTTTAGTAATATCTTTTTTTCATCTTTCTTATAATATCAGCATAAAAGGGAATTATATCGACGTGAAAATATAAATATCAGTTGCATGTAGTTTAAAACTGTCTTTTAAACAGTACAGCGATTGTCTTCTACAGGTAACATCGTCTTATTTTATGTGCATTTCCCTTACTCGACCTCAGTGACAGGCAATACTCTTACCAGTGTCTGTTTTCAAACTGACAGCTGAACTGTCAAATAAACAATCTATATATATAAAATATAATATTTTCCAAAGCATGAAATACATCAAACAAGAATAGTTGAATAGCTACTTAAAACTTTTCACTTTTGATTATAAAAAAGATGCGTATATGTTTAGTGCATTTCTGATAACATCTTCAGTTTGTAGTCATACATACGTCACTCATAAGCGACACTGTTAAACGGCGAACTTTTATTATACAATACAAAATATCCTCTAAATTTTATTGTCATGACAAAAAAAAATATGTCGTACTGCACCTGAACTGTGAGAGCTTCGCATGTGAAACATCAATAGCCAGGCATTTCACGAAACTGTAGCGCCAGCATTATTAATATTGTGTTATAACATTGCGTGAAGGAACCAAGGGCGACGAGCTCTCAGTGAATGGCAGACCGAATAACAGCAAGTGCTCCCGTATTATCCTGATTCCAACATTCCCAGACTTCAGCAGTTATGTGTTCTGCAATATCTTTAAAAAATAGCTCGATAGACAATAATCAAAGCGATGATGCAGATTTTACGTTTTATGATTATTCCAAACTGACGTGTGTGTATTATTTTGAAGGAACAATTTTCAGTCGTGGTAACCATTGCTTATTCCCACTTATATTAGGAACCATTTTTAAGCTAATGTTTTAAAATCGAAATTTCAACATATTGTTAGAAATATTCAATCAACCTCTATCGATGTAAATGCTAGGTTTTAGACAATTGTTTCAAGCATAATATTGCGAAAACGGAGTTTTGAAATGATGATACTGATTTAATCTTGCAAATGCATTAAAAATTATCAATACAAACAATGCTACAATCCTACGTTTCTCAATACTTTTGCAGTAAAGCGTCACGTGGCCCATTCTTCGTGGTTTAACCTGCTTATTGTCTCTTGTGTATGTGATGTTTTACGGGAATCAAAACGTTTTTAGCCAGATTATCCTTTATTTGGATCAAGTGCTCTCTGTTTTTAAGTATTTATTTTGAACTAGTTACCATGTTCCTTGACGCATGCTGTCAAACGAGCGAGGTTCACCTGACAGGTCGTTTGTGTCGTTTATTTGATGTGCAGACATGTTTACATATCGACTATCTGTTGTGATTTGTTTTGAGATCAAGTTTAGGTCACATATCGTTGTCTGTGTTAATTTGCATTCAACTTAGAGGGATCTTTCGCCGTCGACTTCCTGCTCTGTGTTGATTACTTGATGTAGGGGGAAATTTACATGTGTCTGCTTTCCTGTTGAATATTTAATGTAAAGCTATGTTTGTCGAGTACATGTAATGTGTTATTTATGTGTCATAGAGTGATAGTTATCTGTCAAGTGACTTATTTGTATTTTTATTTGTTTGAAAGCTATTTTACTGTCGACTGTTTTGGTTATGGTGTTTAAAGGCCTATGATATCCTTTTAACTGTCCTATTTGATGTTGGACTATGTATACTGTCGCCTGTCTTTGCTATGTTGTCTGTAAATCTATTTTCACTGTCAGCTGTCTGTCTTGTCATGTTTGTATAGCTGTCGACTGCATGGGTTTTGTCATTTGTTTATATAGTTTGTTAACTGTCGACGTTGTGGTGTGCTGTTTTCAGAGAGTTATGTTTACTGTCGACGTTGTGCTGTGCTGTTTACTGTTGTCTGTCCCTGTTGTGGTGTGTGTAGAGTTCTCTTCTCTATCGACTGTCTTGTCCCGTTGTTTGTATGATTGTGTTTGCTGTCGACTGCTTGTTTGGAGTTGTTTGAAGAGTTATGTTTAATGCTGACTACATGTATGGTATTGTTTGCAAAGCTATATTTACCTTCGTCTGTCTGTGTTGTGTTGTTTGCAGAGCTATGCTTACCGTCGTGTGACTGTGTTGTATTGTTTGCAGAACTATGCTTACCGCCGTACGCCTGCGTTGTCTTGTTTGCAGAGCTATGCTAATTGTCATCTGTCTATTTTGTGTTGTCTGCAGAGCTACGATTATTGTCGTCTGTCTATTTTGTGTTACATATATGCAGAGCTATATTTACTGTCGTCTGTCTGTTTTATGTTGTTTGCAGATCTACGATTATTGTCGTCTGTCTATTTTGTGTTGTTCGCAGAACTACATTTATATGCCTTTCGTCGTGTGTCCTTATTGTGTTGTTTGCAGAGCTACGGTTATTGTCGTCTGTCTATGCCGAGCTACGTTTATTGTCGTATGTCTGTTTTGTGTTGCTTGTAGAACTACAGTGTATGCTTACGGTCGTATGTCCTTGTTTTGTTGTTTGCAGAGCTACGGTTATTGTCGTCCGTCTATTTTGTGTTGTTTGCCGAGCTACGATTATTGTCGTATGTCTGTTTTGTGTTGCTTGTAAAACTACATTGTATGCTTACCGTCGTGTGCCCTTGTTGTGTTGTTTGGAGAGATATGTTCACATGTCGAACGCCTGCTGTGTCTGGTGAGATGTACTTCCTATACCGATGGATCCTATTTCTCCGACTTGTAGCTGAATTAATATTGTCAGTAATTAGCTGTTTTGAGTATGAAGCGTGTTACTAATTGTCCTTGTATAACAATTTATGATGACATCAGAAGAAACTTCAGCACTCCTCGTCTCTGGGCACACTCGGATATCTCACCACAGCGGTAATAAAACTGATTTACCAAAACAGATGACGAATACGTTGTCCGCCCTTTATTAGATTAGCTTTCATCGTGATAAGTCGGTATGTCAGTTGGCGAATCAGCGGGGATCAGTTATATTGGTAGTTTACAAAAGGAAAAAGGGAAATCTGACGGGAAATAACATACAACATCCCAAATAAAGTTATCGTTTGTGCTTTCGGAATCTGAGCCAGAACAATTCATGTCTTACAAAAACGGCATTCACGTCGTTCGTCCATATTCGATTGAGTGGAAATTAGAAAATAGATACCGAGCTGCAACATTAATAGATATATCTATATAGCTATGTCCAATATTTGGAACCCGGAATGAAAAAGCAGATCATGATGAGTTACATAGTGCAGGTGATTCGAACCCTTTCGGAAAACATGCTATTGAGGAGGATTTCTATATTTTCGTGTTGTTTTGTGCCTCCTTGACGGGCTAAAATTAATGATTATTTCGTATTAGTTTTCAGTGTGGATTTTGTCTTTATGTCTTGACGTTATGGTTATTTATTTTACTTCATCATAATAGTCTTTGCCTATCTATATGTTATATTGATATGAGTGGTCGGGTGGCGCAGTTGATAACGCACTCTCCTTTCTCCAAAATGGCCGGGGTTTGATTCTACGATCGGATGTGAAAAGGTATTGGGTCATCTGCCAGACCAAGTTAAAGACTCCCCGACCACTATCATCAGGGCCAGCAAGAGTGATTAAGTTTGAAAAATGTTTGTTTCATAAATTTGGAAAATAATCAAATGTATTTGTTATGTATATGTTATAGGTCATCTATGACAAAGCTGTCCGTCGGTTCCTTTGTTCCCGACAAGTCTCAAAACAAAAGTCATCACAGTCTATATTATGACCGGGCGTTATGTTGGAGAGTCGAACAACAATACACACCTCAATATCTAATTACAGTATTGGTATCCTAAATTCCGACAGGATATCGAACTGGTTGACATCAATTTGATGCAATTGTCTGTTTGTATTTATCGATATGGTCTATAACAAAACATGCATATTTCATTTTCATCAATTCAGACTTTTCTTCTATAAGATGAGATAACGAAATTGATATTATGAATAGGAGAAGTATTCAATTGACAAGTCCCCGGGTGCATAATCACACATTGCAATTCAAAAGCACACGCCTTTTCAAAGTTAATTATCCTCAACAGCGATGAACTGTAAAAGCAATTTACTCTTGAGTCGACAAGTGTTTTTGCTGCATATCTGTTATTACTCACACTTCTGGGGATGATAAATGTATAACTTCCCGCAACTTAAAACCAATTACCTAAAAAGAATTTTCCTCTTTTGCACGAGGAAATTTAACATAACTTCCACACCGAAATTCGCAAGTATACTTTGCCAGGAAATATTTTGTTTTAATTTTTCTTCTGCATGTTAATACATTAATTATTTAGCGAGTCAAGTTTTAAAATTCAAAAGAAATTCAACTGGGAACGTTAAGGCAGAGGTATTGGTAGAGAGCGCTAGAAGCATTTCATAGTGCTGAGTATATGAAGAGTTTAGAGAATTGTTTGCCAAGAGTATTGACAGGGGGCATGGGAATTTTCTTTAACAAAGCGCGATAGACAGCTTGTAATGACAGAGGACTGTACATGTCACAATTAAAAAGACATAATTCGCCTCAGGACGCAAAGCGATTCTCATTAATTCACATTAGAATATAGTGAAAACATTTGGTGTAAAAACCTAAGAGTATTATCAGTCGCAAGGATCTATGACGCGGTGAACATTTGTGCAAAACATGACGGAAACGACAATCTCCTTATTAGAAAACTGAGCATGGTGGCGATCGTTGGATGTTTTCAATCTCGACTAAAATGTCTCGGGAAGATAACATGTCAACTGTATATACAGGGGAGTCTCGTGTCTTACTACTCCGTTAAGCATTTGTAACGGTCGTAAAATAAATTAAAAGATGTATTCTTGGGTAGCACTGAGGAAATGAGAAGCCGGTATATCTACAAAAAATGTCTAAAGCTTTGTTATAGCATTGTGTGTTAGTACAAACATATCATATGACAGTGACTATGTTTGATTTTCCTGTTGGCGCAGGATAATAAATTATGGAATATAATTTATTTCTCGTGAAATTACTTGCTCAAAGTACTAGAAAAAGTACACGTTTCTAAGCTGGCTTGAAGCATCTTTCTCAATTTCAGTTATTAATTAAGTCCCCCAAACAAAGTTTGGGGACTTATTTTTTTACTCAGTTTCTTCTTATTATTATTAAATATTCTTCTGCAGTCATGAACGTTTCCAGAGGTTTTCTCAGAAACTAATTGGGGATCATCATGAAACTACACAGACCTATTCATTAGGGGTTCTAGGTGTGCAACAAGCTATTTCTATATCGACCGGAAGTCCAAGATGGCCGTCATAGTCTTGCTTCCTTTTTTGGAGTTTTTGGACACTGATTTCGGTGAAAATTAGTACATTAAGGTTTCTAGGGATGCAAAACACAATGGTAACAGTTTCGAGCAGCTCAGTCGCCATGGTAACGAAATTAAGGCCTCTTATTTGTTGAAATTTTAGATGTTGTCTGATTCTGCCTAAGCACTTAAGTCGTACAGTGGTCGTTTGGGAGACTTTTGTAACGGCCATCCGTTACAATTATTACTAGTTACTTATACGTTTATAACAGATTTAAACGCGTCAAATAATTGTGCATACATAAATGTCGTATACACCCCATTTTGAGCAATTGAATCCAACTGTAACTAATTATATAATAATGAGATATTACCAATGTTTGTTATTTAAAATCTGTGTAAAAACAGTACTGCAGTTTCAACTATTAGGTAATAAACTAGTTATTTCATTGTTGTTTTGGGAACAGTCATATCAATTGTCCCAAAATGCTTGGAAAGACCTGGAAAACTGTTGCCTTTTGATGAAACAATAAGCTGCTTCCCTTTCCCAAACATTTGATGTTTTTAGGCCTTAGGCATGAATCAGTTATTTATTTCCAAATTAACTTTCCATGCGCAGTAACTATTCCTAAATCTTTTCCCGATTGCTAATTAAGTATCAGATTGCTTGTTTCATTGTTGTTTTGGGACCATTCCAATGTTTTCTCTAGGTCTAGAGAACTGCCATTCACGTGCAAATATTTGGTTAATTATTTATAATTATTCCTTAAATTTCAAAACAAATTCAGAATCACTTCAGAATAGGAAGTGATGAGACTTTCCACATACTTAACGAAATTGTTGTTTTAACATATTGAAATTTATAACATAAAGTGTCAGGGCTACCAATGCGGACAAATGAAATAAATAAACAACTGAAAATAACTAGAAAACAATAATTTAAATAATAAATAGATAAATAAAAATGAAAATAAAATAACCCAATAAAAAGTCTTTAAAAATATTGGCAAAAAAATCAATATATTAATAAAATAAAAACAAATAACAATAAAATAAATATATAAATAAATATTAATGTACTTCTGACTTGTTGTGCTGTATGTAGTCATCTGAAGATGGAATACTTATCATGACCTTTGCATGTGTTTTCGCAAAGCGTAAATGTCTACGAATGATTAACTTGTCACTATGATGAATGACATATGTACGTGTTAAGACAGATGATTCTGTCCCCTTTCTTTGTACGTGGTTAGATAGCTGTATCAGTCCCCTTTCTATGAACGTGTTTAGACAGCTTTATCTGTCTCCTTGCTTTGTACGTGTTTAGACAGCTGTATCGGTTCCCTTTCTATGAACGTGTTTAGACAGCTGTATCAGTCCCCTTTCTATGAACGTGTTTAGACAGATGTTTCTGTTCCCGTTCTTTGTACGTGGTTAGACAGCTGTATCAGTCCCCTTTCTATGAACGTGTTTAGACAGCTTTATCTGTCTCCTTTCTTTGTACGTGTTTAGACAGCTGTATCGGTTCCCTTTCTATGAACGTGTTTAGACAGCTATATCAGTCCCCGTTCTATGAACGTGTTTAGACAGCTTTATCTGTCTCCGTTCTTTGTACGTGTTTAGACAGCTGTAAAGGTCCCCTTTCTATGTACGTGTTTATACAGCTATATCTGTCCCCTTTCTATGTATGTGTTAACACAGCTGTATATGTCCCCTTTCTATGTATGGGTTAACACGGCTGTATATGTCCCCTTTATATGTACCTGTTTAGACAGCTGTATCTGTCTCCTTTCTTTTTTGAAGTTTTGTCTAAAACCATAACTTCAGTAAAACAAAGTTTTACAGTGTATTAATATGTATATGGATATTTAATAATGTTATTATGTATATGTATATTTAACGGCACATTTTATAGCATAAATGAAATTGAATTAGCACAATAGTGAGGTTTTTATTCTTATCTGTTTTATTTAGAGGGACTACCGAGAAGTTCTGAGTCTTTCAGTAGTGAGATGAGCTGCATTTTGTATTCCCCAACAAGTAAGTTTGATATGATACATTTTTGATGCATAAAGATCACTTAATACACATCATTAATAATGTTCTAAATTATCCATCCTTCAAACAATAAAAAATTCTATATGAATATATATGGTTGTAAATTGCTTTGGAGCATAATTTGCGAAAAAACCAAAACAAGGGCAAAATAGAATATACTTAGTTTTAAATGGTTCTAATGATTGAGTTTCTGGTTGACATTAGTTTTGTTTAGTTTAGTTTGGAGGCAAGCTCTTAAATAGACTGTTAACATTCCTCTGGGACTAAACTGTGTCCCTCCTCCGACCTTTGGTCGACGTTTTGGATTCATCTTGCCTCGATTGTCATTAACCATGTAACTAACCCGTTTTTTGAAATGAGGACATGACAATACCTGTTTCTGTCCTAGATTTCTACATTTTATGTCAAAGAAACAGAGGACAAACACTTTCTGTTACAGAATGCCTGATCTTGTTTTATCAGTGTAATATTTTCAAGTGTGTCCGATATCAATCTTTCCGATCTTGAAATTTTGCTTAAGTATTATTATTTTTATTTCTACTTACTGTTTTAGTGACTTTTTTTTCGGTGAGATTGTTACAACTTTTGTGACGTTTCAGTATTTGTCTTTTTCCAATGTCCATCATCATATTTCATTTTACAATACAAAAGGCAGTCACCTTTCTTGGTTTTGAAAGAAAAGGTACGTTAATAATTAAGGAAAAATTAACTTGTACAATGGACCTTGTTTTACCTCCGATCGTTTTGTCAGTTCCATAAGATTTCATCTGTTTACGTTGAATAGATCCTCAAATGTTAATGTTGTATTCTTTTCACAATATTAACTTTAGATATAGAGAACGGTCAGCTTCTGGCCACTGTCCAGATAGACGTGCTTGGCCGCTGGAGGGCTCAGCTGACCTGTAAAGACGATGACGATGTGCCCACGCCTCTCTGTTGTCATGGAGTTAGCGTAAGTAATCAACAACATCCCAAAAACCAATGTGTCAAACAAATTGCAATTCAATGAAGATTCATGACAAGTTCTTTTGTCGCCTTTATGAATTCATAGGAAATATGTTATTTCTTTATGTTATTTGAAGGTTGGTGTTTTTTATAACGTCATTTGTGTGCCTTGTTTCGATTTTTCGATTTAAGGACAAGACATTAATTGAATTTTACAGATTTACATGGCGGGTGTCGTCGGTGAAGCAGTAGATGCTTACCATTTCGAAAGTCTTGTGTTATTCTCCTTGTACTGTCTCAAGAAACTCCCATGGAAATATTTCCTTTGTTCACATTTTGCCATAGTTCTATCGAATTTGATTTCGACTTACTGCTTTGTTGATAGTTCGGTATTCCGTCGTTAGTTTTCAATGGTACAAAACCCCTTACATAATGGTATACTATTCTCTACAGTTATTAACTGAAACATTTAATCAGATGAACTGGATTCTTTCCACACGAGATAACAATTTCGATAGTTTGATATAACTGAAAATAAAGGAACCAAGATTAGCAATAATCACATTTTATCAGTAGAATCAAAATCGTATCGATATAATAAACTGCCAATGTTGTATTTGGTATTCTCTTTGATGTAGCTTGCTCCATAGCCACAGAATCGGTTTTGAAGTTGTATATAATGGCATCATGACAGAGCTGGAGGTTGTTTCGCCCCAAAACATCCATAGGACGAAAATTTGGCTATTGATCTAGTTCATTTGTCTTCCTAACCACAGTTATATAACAAGCGATTAATTAAAACTGGTGAAGCAGCTACACTCCGTCATTTTCACTTTCTGTAATTGGAATCTACTAGTATACATTTACGTACAATTGGTTTAGGTATATGAAGACGATGTCACTCAAACTCAAAGGATCGATAACTATCTTCTCTAATAACCGTTGCGGGTTTAGTTATTCACGTCATTCAACACGCCAAACGATAAGAGTAGTCAGTCCAGCCTCCAGAATGTCACAGTGTTAGTTGTCTGGAGCCGTCTACAAACATCTAATGAAACCTGTGATAGCTTGAGTAGTGAGGGGGATTTATTTAGGGTTTTGAGCCCTTAACATTTTCTATTTAAGATAAAGTTCTGTGTTAATTTGAAAATCGAATAATTTAATCAAGCCCGGAACAGTATGTTTCCTTGCCATTTATGATTTCTTGAAGCTGTACTGACAACAATAATAAAAAAATATGTTACCACGTGAAAAATAGGAGCTTAACACAGTAAAACAAAAATTTGCATTTCTCGCCAATTCGTTTATAAAATCATCATAATTCATGTGATAACGCTTAAGTCATAAGTTGTATGTGTCTTATATTAATCATTAATGTTTCTCCGTAAAGTACCGCAGCACACACAGAGACGCATTAAAATAAAACTAGAAATATGACTATAATTACAACAAAGAAAGACTAGATTTGGTCAAGTGTGACATTTTAACGATTAAACAAACTTCATAAAAACAAGGAGAACTGCATCATTTTATTGGATATTATAGCGTATGTAGAAAAATAGTTAAACAAATGAAGTGGTTGTAATCGAAGTACAATATTACTAGTTGGCCTTAAAAGCAGGCGTCAGTAACGGCTTAACTCACACTTTATATTTATATGATGACATACTTCACGGAGGTTAATACTGATTTTTTCTTTGGTTTTTGGTGTTTCCATTGCTCCTATTCTGTGTTGGATCTTCTCCTTGTGTAAAGCCCCTATGATATCTTGATTTTCATACTGAACACAACGTTAACAAATTAATTTAATCCCTTTAATACAATAATTCGGTGATGCGTGTTCCATTGCTACGTCCATTGACCATTGTTTCATTACTTTTTATGTTAATTACTTATTTAATACGTTCTATAGATTTTGACAATGTATATTTACGAATAACATTTAAACATTGTATACAGATGTTACATACACATATAACATTGCTGATATAGAGATTCATGAATTGCATGATCTAAAATGATTTATGTCGTGGTTATGTTTCGTTTACCTACATATATAATACAGACCAAAAGACATATCAAGTTTATGCTTTGATAGTATGCTACACTCATCTTATTATGTGAATTACTCATTTAATAGAGCTACACTGAATTTCAATTTCGGTTGATAGTGTACATAATGGTTTTGCAAGGGTCTCATTAAATGGTCGTTCTTGACGTCTTATTAAACATCGTTAAGGTATTTTAATTACTGTTCCGAACGGATATTTGTGAGCTGTTAATGCTGACAATCGTATGAATAAAAACAACAGAAGAAAATGAAATCTAAAATAAAATAAAAAATGACGTAATCCCCTGCAGACTTAACGGGATTTAAAAGCGAATCGAGCACCATGAATTCCATGTCATTCAAAAAAAATGTTTTCAACGAATTGCTATCAGAAAAGGTTTAAGGCCGTCAGAAAATGACAACAGATTTCTCACAACCCATCGTTCCAATGACAGCGCTCGAAAAGTTCCGATTGTAGAATAAACGAATTTAGGCACACCGGATGACAAATGAGCAGCGGTGGCAGTACGGGTTAAGACACCATTCCAGTCTTTCTCATTCAGTAGAATGATCCACCGGAAAATCCCAGACATGGTGCATTTATGATATTGGAATGAAATCACATGAATAAGACGCGGAAGTTTTGGACATGTTTCCGACCCAATTACGTAAGTCAGGGAGACGAATGTGGTCATAAAAACGAAATACTTAACTCTGGTGAAGAAAAAGGGGATTTTTGTTGGTAATGAAAGTTGCGAACAGGTTTAAACAAACTGGAATGGAGGGGTAGTTCAGAAATCTTTTAACTACCAGCCTACATCAAATGACACACGAATAAGTTATATGTTATACACTATATACAATAGTGAAGCTACTTTACCTTTCTGTTTGGTAGTAAATGAAAACCACATCAACCAATAAGCGTGTTTATATACGAAATATACTAGCGCAATAAATTATTTTAAAGATAATAAATCACGACTCAGTAAATCAGTGCCGACGAAGTTTGATTAGAATATAATTATATTGCTGAAAAGAAAAATCAATGAAAGCAATTCTGATTGTTAATAATGTCCGTTCTGTTTGATATTAGTATCAATTAATTATATACAGTATTTAGCTTTTCGTTTTCATTTTAAATCCGCCAAACTGATAAAATTCGTGGACTCTGGCTTAGATCATAAATGATCATTTTAATGGTTTGCGTTTGTCCAACAAGCAAATCCCTGCGCGACCGGTATACTGTTTTTCATATACGGGTTATACATGCAGTACTTGGAACGTTTACCCTTTCGGATCCCATTTTTTTTCATTGGATGTGTGATGTCCTTTCCATTTGTGATGTGTCCCCGGTTACTTTTTTTTTTCTTTTTTTCCCCCAAGGACTTTGACTTTCAGTTATGTTCTTGTGTGTTGGCGTTTTAACATAATTTTACTTAGAACTACAAGCAGAAAAACACCACAAGAGAATACCTAAGTGTCAACAAAAGTCAAACTCATAATCGATAACACTGGGGCAATATAGGAACAAAAATATTTTACATGGAAAAACATGAAAAATTACATGGAGAATTAGACCAGGTGTTCCGGAAGGGTAAATATCTTCTGCTTCATAGATGACACCCACCGTATAAATCTTAGTCAAATCCGAGTAATGTCCCGTCCTCAAATCGAGAATTCGGTAGCGACAACGAAAACAACAGACACTCTTATGAACATAATTAAAAAACATCGACCTTCATATAAATAGCATATTCCCTTGGTGATCCTGATGGCGAACATAAAACTTGTCCATGCTATTTTTCAATTTGCAAATTTGTGAACCCTGTGTTGTAAGTTTGTTCGTTAGCAGTCTATACTATGCACCTAATCCATAATACGCTCTTTTGATACTACTCAAAAGTGCATGTTGTGGTGTGTGTTGGAAGTTTACATGCTATTTGAGTCACAGAATGAATATATTGTAATCGAACCAATGTAATCACATTTCTCTGTTTAAACAAATTTATATCGAGCATAATTACTTGCTACATATTTTTGTGTTTTTCTTCATTCATCGGGTCATTTCTTTTCGTTCATGTTATGCATATTTCCTTATGAATAAAACATTCATAATAGATACAGTTGCCTATTTTCATTAATGTTTTAAACGGTCACATATAGGCCAGAGAGATATTTGTCAAGTAAGAGGATCGCTGTAAGATTTACATTTAGAAACGTATTTTTAGGTAATTTGTCACATCTGATAATGTGAACAAATTTGCCAACGTCCACCGCGTTGCTCTTTGACAATCATTATCTCGGGAAGAACACCAGTTGTGGCAGATGTTATACTGTCTACGTGTCAATATTTATGTGTCTGGTCGGTCTATATATGGGATGTATTAGCGATACAACATGTCACCCATACGGGCGATTCATTTCTCAGTTCTTTTGGTGTGAGACACAGTTATTTAGATGAAGTAATTATATATTTTTTTTTTTTTTTTTTTTTTATACATTGAAATAATGTGAATGCAATGCTATAAGTGCCAATACAAGCTATTTTCTTATCTATGTCTAGGATGTTTTGTTTATCATATTTGCTAAAGAGGGTTCCCACCGACTAAGGATCTATGAGCAATTAGATCATATTTTCATTGCTGTTGTGAATTAAAATGTATCTGAATGGAATAGTTATATCATGATTGGTTGTAAGATGAACGTGAATAATGCCATTTCTTTGCACGGATATTGAACGATTCTATTTTCAGAGGAGATGATCCAAGATCATCGTTAATCGTGTCAGGAAAAATGAATACATATGTAAAAACATTTTCACCTTTTCTAACAATTTAATAAATTACTTAAAGTTAAGTTAAGATGATACAGACAGCACGTGTACTGACAACGTCTGTTATCATTCAAATAGTTAACAAATGCTAAAAATCACCAAGATCCATCTTTACAAAAAATATTCCTAAATTCAAGATAGTGCTGGATGACACATTGGAGTCCTGTGTTGGGTGTAATATGTCAATCCCTTGTAGCAAACGGGACAAACAGTACCTCTGGTGACTTACTCCATAGTCCGAAAACTTTGATTAAAGAAATAGCAAAAACAAATGTCATCAATCTTTCTAGACCAGAATCTAAACATCTTAATTCCAAAATTGTACGATGTACTATTCCTTACTCGTATCGTCCCTAATGCGTGTATCAACAGCTCCAAGGACTGAGCATACAACAGGCTCTTTATGAATAAGTAATGTATGGTGTACTTTGAGAACCAAAACTTCTGGACGATTCCAGCAGAAAAAAGACTCTATTGAATAATATGTATGCATAAGCTTTAAATCACAAGGACAGTCTTCCTTTCCTTACTTTTGTAAATAGAATGGCCGATTCGCAGACAGTCTTTATCAATAGTAAAAAAGGTGTCAACAGAATTGGTGTCGTGCCGACATTGATTGCGGTGTATTTTTATGTCATAGTTCTGACATGTCTGTGAAGCTCTCTTTGTGCTCGTTAATGCATTGGACGATGTTAAAATTAGCTAAAGGCTAAAATACAAGTCATTGTTTCCGTGGTACAATTGAAGTATTCCCTAGTGAGAAAAGTGCTGATCGAAAGGTTTCATTTGCTACATTAATATTTCACATTCACAGGATTGACTTCAGATTACTATCTTTGGGTGTAGGTTTATTGATATGTTGTTTTCGTATTCGTCTTACAAGATACTGAAAAATCATTCAGTATTAATTGGGTTTCAAGAATATACAGTACATAGCATTACTTCATAATCATTGCGTACTATCATGTTTGACAGTACCACGAATCTGCCTTGAGTAAGTAAGCTCTGTCCGTTAATATGAGACATATCGTAATGCTCAATGTCCCAAATCATTATTTTAAACAATTTCTTTTGCCGAAGGGTAAAGACGATATTGTGAACTAGTGATGACGACTTTGGTTTTTTTTTATGTATAGTTGACAAGTACATTACTATGGCAATTTATAAACCCACCGACGTTCGACGTTTGACTGTTGTACACGGCCAAAAATGGCGACGATCGACTTCCTGTTGATCAGGGGTTGTCTTGGTGTAAATTGTACAGCATGGATCATGTGTTAATCGTATCTACCGTTTTCGATGATACGTGATGGCATTTGTTGTCTTACTAACATTGCATTGTGTTTCTTATTGCAGATGAGCTATGGAGAGTTCATTAATATTCTTCAGACATTGACCGGTCCAACCAATGAAGACGGAACATTTAGTTTCTTGTTCTCCCTGCGGCCAGTCCTCTTCCTTCTTGTTGCAGTGGGAGTGTGGCTAACCACATTTATTTTTGTACTCATATTCCTCAGAGACGAATCAAAACATAGTAAGTGCAATTTTAACCGTGTCCTCTGTAGTCATCAATGCTAAATTTATAGGATAACTTTCCTTTGTCTTATTTCAAACAAGGTCTCGATAACACATTTTAATAAAGGGAAACTTAAAAATTTCACCTAAGGTTACGGTTTACACGTCAACGTTAATATTTGACGATATTAAAACCTTCATTCCAAACACCATGCGTTAGTTGAAAGTTTGTACTAACCAATAATAACAATCCTGGCGAGATATCCAGCGATTCCCATTAATATGTTAGTATACCCGACATTAAACTGCCCTGAGTCAATACAGCTGTACGGTAATATCTTGACGGGGATTAATTGGCGTGCTGTCTTTGTTATAATAAATTAGTAGACGTCGGATTGATAACATACGCCATATATACAATTCACGTCATAATAATGAGTTCATATGTACGTGATAGTTTTATATAATCATATTTTACTCCTGATTAGCTTTGGGTGATTATCGGTTAATGTTAGAGAGTCAAAGGTCATACTTCTGCAAAATCGTATTTATACCATACATGTAGTAAGGTAACAGCTTTACTCCTGATTAGGTTTTGATGTTCTTTGATCAAGGTAAACAGATCAAAAGTCAAACCTGACCAATTTGCGAGGTATATCTTTGTGAGCCTCCGCTCGCTTTGTGTTTTTGATTTGGTTTTTCTTAATGAAGCGGGCCACTCTCTTGCTTCCCTTTACTTCTTTTTTATTATGTCTATTATTCTTAGTTAGTATCGCCTCAGTTCCTGTTGACTTTTCTGTACTGAATTTGAGTTCCGATTTGGGCATTGTTTACCCATATAATTGGATATTTTTTTAATTTATGTTGGCATATTATCGTGGTACTAGCTCTGTTATCAGTATACATGTAAATGTTATGAGTCTCGCGTGTATAGTGTACTGTTAGTTGACGGTACAATGTAATCCATTACACCAAGCCATCCTTTACATCATGGTTGATACACATCAATCCGACAACGTTTATATGAGAGCTTTCCATGACGACAGCGGCAGTTGAGATTTGTTCTCACATTGCCGTTTAGATTAAAAGAGAGTGATTATTATCCCATTTTGAATGCCTGAACACTTCTAACCAGATGCCTAGTATTAAAGTGCATGTGACTTATACATAGTCTATTTATTTCACTGTATAGCATAAAATAACTGTCTTCAGTGTTTAAAGCGAAATATTTTTTTCTGGATGTTGCTGTCGGTATGCTTGGGATAAAGATTATTTGTTTATACTGGTGATTGTAAAGGTTCGTTGTCCAGTTCATACATTTACATTCGTTTCTGTCTATCCCTACCCGTGTTATTGTCTGTTTCGGCAAAATATTATCAATTTGTAACGTTTTAATTGGTTAATTTAGGTACATGTTCCATTTTGGTGGACATTTTTTTACATGTTTCGGAACATTTAAACCCTTATTTCCCTCTCTTGAAATTCAGTTCCTCTGATGTTTTTTCAATCGACAAAATGGCCATAAGGTGCAACAAAGTTGTTTTTTTATATTTGACATTCTGAATAGAATTACCACATTTCAATAGGTGTTTCGTTACTTCCTATTTGAATGTTTCTATAGTAATCATCAGAAGCCATGCTATCGGAAGGTTTCCATTTACCAGATTGTATGCGTGTGTGTTGGGGGTGTCGTAATGTCAAGACTGTTCCTATCGTTATCTTTTTAAAACGCCACAATTATTAATTATGTTTTTTACGTTATAGGTGCCTTAGGTATCAGACTCCCCGTATTTTCCTTTCCTATGCTGTTTGTGCTGTATGGGTACGGCATTCGCTGGAAACGTCAGGAGCGGAAAGACAAGGTTCGTCCAATTAACATACACTTTTATCTCCAAATCGTTTGGTAAATTGATACTTTGCAATTAACAATAAAAGTGTTTTGATTTTATTTGTATCATGTTGAACAGATGTATTCAAATTTGTAATAGAAACGAAACGCCTTCTGGAAATCATCATAATTTCGCGAGAGATTAATTTTTGCATTAACTTGTGTTCAGAGTCGGTCCCCAATATATCTCTTTTGTCAGTAGTATTTTCATGATAGCTATTTTTAATTATGAAAAAGCGTCCTTTTCCTTGAATGCAATTGTTCAGAAAACTAGTTACATGTAGTACTTACAGGTAGGGTTTGCGAAATAAAGTACACACGAAATTTAAGTTATTTACACACTGCAATGGTCCACCAAACATAGACTAATGGATTATTTCAAAGGATATGTACAAATTGGAACACCAAATCAAAGCGATGCATGCAAGCATCAACACTAAAAGACACATAGAATCTCTACAACGATGCATACAACGACGCATTTATAATTCTCTCAGGTACACACAAGTGCGTTTTCAATGGAAGCCATCAAAATCGAACTATACAATAAAATATACAATTGCAATGTATACAATCGCGTAATATAATCTACAATACAAAGGCATTACTATTGCAAACGGCTATTTTCTCGCTTTCTGGTCACGTTAACAATGCTCCACGGAATACATCCCAGAGCGTATTTCAAAAGCATTCCAGTATTAATACATAATTTACAGTTATATAGTTCTAATGGAAATCTTTTGGAATTGTCTTTGTTCTCCCACTAGATTTTAAGACAATAGCTTTAATGGTAGATTGTAATACACGCTGGTCTGGTAACATCTCTGTCTGAATGCTTCTGACAGGTGTCACCAACTTCTTTGTAAACGTGCTATTGATCAGACATTTGATGTGAAGGAGGACTTGTAGGTTAAGCTTTTAATGGACAGAAGGTCCAATTCCCGACGACCGTCACATTCATCATGTTACTAAAGCGACATCCTTCCAAGTAGATCTTCTCTCGAGGCATCAAGTCATTGTTGTAATTCGGCCTAGTTTGTCTCTAAAATGAATATACGAATCCCTTTACCAATACTCATGTTTTCATGTCGTCTATTGAAAGAAAATATATTAAATATATATATATATGTACCGTCAAAAATGAACGTAAGTCACACCTGTATGAACGTAGGACTAGCACAGTTTACGGAGTTAGCTACAGTGTAAGTTACCAATTACATGTATACCTGTAATATGTGTAAAACGTAAGTAAAACATTACCTTACATATCATATCTTTGAATCAAATACGACGTAACATTATATAATATGAGAGGTAAGCCTTTATGCGTCGGTACACATTATGCTTTAAATGAAAATATTTACCTGACAACCCTCGACCTATAGTTTACAGTGCTATATACGTTTTATCATATTTTGTTTTTGATATTTGCTATGACTTATAAACCACAAACACAATCGTTTTCTTGAAGGGGGGAAGAAGAAAGTTAATGACAAATAGATATATGATAAGAACCATTTGGATGTTGTGATAAGCTCTTTGTCGGAATATTCATTAGTTTCTAATATCAAAATAAGATTCAAATAACAAAAACGATAACATGTACTACCCAGACTATAACCTGATTCTAATCAAGTTTGAAGTACATACTGATACATGGAGTCTAAATTTGAAAGTTGTCATCTCGTGAATACTTTCTAAATATTTTTCGACTGAAGGGGACAAGCCATATAATCAGTTCCTGAAAATATAGTTTTGCCATATCATTTTTCTTGGACTTCAATATCTCCTTTAGACTAAAAACATAAACACAGACAGTTACGTCAGAGCTCAAACAATGTAACAACCATCTTTACGGCCTGATCACATTGTTCAAGTTATGTTATTAAGTGTGATCCGGTGACCATCAGCACCCATCGACCCCTTGTCTATTATCTTTCATATAAATTCTCCATCTAGATATAGGAAAAGCCATCTGAAAGGCGAACATGATTTATTAGCCTATGAACTCCAATGATCAAATAAAGGTTATACCTAATTTGGGACAAAACTGCTGAAACGTTCAGAAGAAAGATTTTCATTAGAATTACATTTTGCATTATATGTTCAACATTACATAATTACTTATGTATATTTTCTTACCTGAAGCAATATACTATGATCATTATACTAACCATGCTTCTAAAATAGGATCGCATGGCATACTTGGAAGTGCTCCAGCCTACGACCCCTTACCGTAGGTTCAGATTCCTTAGATGACAGAAACGAATTGTTTCCTTCAGTAAATTAATATACCTAATTGTCAGGAAGTGAGTATGATCTGGATTCGGTAGTGAATATAAAAGAATTGCATTTGCATTGTTAGGGCTTGGGTAAGTCTCCTCATACATGTCTATCGTCCCTTTAATGTCAAGTGCCTTCGAGTGATTTACTTAACATAGACAAATAACAGTTTAGAAAGAAATTTGAATGATAAAAAAATAATAAAAAACGTTTTCAAAATCCTTGGTTGTATATCATTTAAAGCAGAGCGTTAAGCGTATTTGTCTGTTATGTCGTTAATTATTATATCTAAGAAAAATGCTTTTAATTAGAAGAACCAAATTGTTCTTAAACATCGCATTTGTATTTCCATGTAGAACTCCAATAAATGGAACAGCAGAATACGGATTACGATAAACAATTTCCAACACATTCATTTATGATTACCATTACACTAAGAAACCTATTAGTATACTTTATATAATGTTAATTACAATGTTGTAGGGTGAACAAAACAAATAGCAAATTTCCATTTGAAATTCAAACACATTAAATCAATATATCAATTTTAGCAACTAAATGTATAATGTATTGCTGCAATTTTGGATATTTGCTATCTGCACATGTCTATGTTCTACTACTTCATCAACAGATCGTGAAGTCAATGCTACTGACCTGCGTTGCATTGAACGAACGCCTCTACGAGTCGGAGAAGCCTGTTTTACTTACAGTCACCGCTGCCAGGAAGGGAGTATTTTCTGTATCCTTTTTTTCATAATGTGTAAATATTTTATGATAGATTTTCTTTACCTCAAGATGATAAAACATCATTGATATTGTTATATCTAACATGAAATAGGTTGTATATTGTAATGCTGTAACGTGGTAAAACAAAAAAAATAATCTTGAACAGTAGAACAACTTGCAAATATGTAAAAATAAGATTTTTTTGTTTAAGAAATAAAAATGTCAAGTGCAAGTGTTGTGAACATTTCAAAATGTATTGAGTGTTTTACATAAGTTAGACATGCGATGCATTGAGCAGTTTAAAGAAGTTTTAACTGTATTATGTATTATTTGTATTTGAATTTATAAAAGGTTAATCGTGACACAACGTCATTCATTATTGTCCTTATCTCCGTCTAGCTACATTTTTTGTACTTTTGTATGTTCGACTGTGTGGTGAGTACTTCTTCATAGTAAACAATGCTTTTCAAATTTACTGGATTCATCTCTTGTCCGTTTTAAAATCTGCGGAACATACAAATTATCAAAACCGCTATTTCACGTTAACATGTTTGCTGCTTTAGGTGAATTTTTGATAAAAAAAAATGTACTAATTCTGTCTGCAAGTGTCATTTTGTTATATCTGTGCAATAACAATATAGTTTCATCTTTTCCCGACAGCCTGCTCAAATGCAGCTAACGGGGCCTATAAAGCAAGAACTTTGATAATGTATCGAATATTATCATTTTTACTTGTACGCAAAAAGCGTATCCAGCTTAAATGCGATTTTCAAATAACACTTTCCATTCTCTATAACGTCTAATTGTTGTAACTTTCTCTTCTTTTAATTTAATACATGCTTTTGAAACGTGACTGTTTTATATCTATTCACTGTTTCCAGGGACTAAAATGTGCAGTGCTTTTAGACGACATATGTAAAGTTATGGCATTATATCAGACACAATGTCATTATAGAATTAAGAAGAATGTATCTGCAAAGTAACGTGATATCATACGTTCAATCCAAATACAATCTTAGCTATATGTACAATTTTGTATCTAAATTTTATGCGATTTAAGGAATAGGAATACAACATTTGCTGTCAATGGTGTCATCAGTAGATAGGATCGTGAAAATGTCATTTGATAACAGCATCTTTTACGACTTTTACCTTTATTTAGATAAAATGATCAGACAGTAAGCGCTTTTGCTTTCTTAATGCATATATTTTGTAAGACAGAACTCTCAATGATGTTAAATACTTTGTCGATAGGGAGACGTAGACTTGTTACTAAACACTTATATGGAGGAAGATGCGGAGAAGTTTGCAACACTTGTAGAGTTATATACCAAAAATCAGGACTACGTCATACAGGTGGGTTGCAAAGTGATGAGCTGATAACACATAAGTATGTGAGATTCAGGTAAGAGATAGAGACTGTCGGATATCCATAACATGTAAGGAATATGATGGTGCCTTCTTTGGATAAACAAGTTGGTGAAATGGGACAGTCCTTTGACTGATAAGATGAAATAAATACAAATCTCCTGCATACACACACGCAAGCACGCATACACTATACACATAGAGGCACGTACGTAAATGACCTAAGCTGTTAATATGACTTTTAACAAAATTAAACCAAACCAAACCATAAAGCTAAAATGGAAAACGTGAAAACAAATATTTAATAAAAAAAATGGCAGAAATTTTAATATGATCAATTTTAATAGCAAACATGCAGCTAAAATATGTGTTACAAACTAGATGTCTGCTGTTTTTAGAATTGTTTTACATGAATTTAAAAAAATGACTAATTTGGCGGCCATTTTGAAAATGTGTATTTTTGGCGCTTCACGGAAGGCCGAAATTTCACCGTTTGTGGCACTAGATTGATCACTTAAATCGTCATTGTATCGCCATCTTTAATTGTAGCAAGTTCTTTTTGCTGTACAACATTATTATGTTCAATTTGATGAAAATGATATGCAACAAAGTGGAAAATTATACATGATTGGTATTTTTTTTACATATTTATTGTCACTGAAGCACTTTCAATCTTTGATCCATAAAAGGTGAACATAAACACAAATAATAATGGGACCAAAACACCAAAATAGAAATACACGGACTTCTCAGAGATGTATATCCTTTAGAACACTTTTGAGTCCTTCAACAAATAGAGAATATTGACCATTGTTTCGTTTTCAAAATAAAATATATTCCGTTTACGTGAAGCTGGTAATTAGAACAAGAAACGAAAATGATCATTCGGTGTCTTAAAGTAATGAACATGGCATCAACTAAATATTATTCTTATATGAATATATATGCAATAGATGGTACTTTCATTCATTTTAAAGTAGGTGCTGTTTGATTTAAATCTATTATTGAGACTATAAATTATAGATATATATCTCGAACTCAAATTTCTCGCTAGTATATATTCAAATACCAAAACGTAGCACATACTATACATCTGCTGTGCTTGTCTCTTGATAAATATCCCTTGCAAATAAGTCGATTTTATGTCAATCGCAAAATTTAAGGGTTGTGCAGTATAATCAATACGAACTTAGTAAGGTTGAATTTTGCTGTCGGAATACCGACATCCTAGTTCCATAGACATTTGCAAAAATATATTCCGTTTACGTGAAGCTGGTAATTAGAACAAGAAACGAAAATGATCATTCGGTGTCTTAAAGTAGTGAACATGGCATCAACTAAATATTATTCTTATATGAATATATATGCAATAGATGGTACTTTCATTCATTTTAAAGTAGGCGCTGTTTGATTTAAATCTATTATTGAGACTATAAATTATAGATATATATCTCGAACTCAAATTTCTCGCTAGTATATATTCAAATACCAAAACGTAGCACATAATATACATCTGCGGTGCTTGTCTCTTGATAAATATCCCTTGCAAATAAGTCGATTTTATGTCAATCGCAAAATTTAAGGGTTTTGCAGTATAATCAATACGAACTTAGTAAGGTTGAATTTTGCTGTCGGAATACCGACATCCTAGTTCCATAGACATTTGCAAAAATATTGTCCAACCGCCTGAATGTGAAGCAGATACAAAAATTACACACACAGCAGAAGATTTGGGACATGCCACTGTTTGCAACTTCTTTCCTGGGGCGATCGACATATTCTTCCTGTGAACACAACACGCAGCATACTTGTGTCACCTAACAGATGCTGCTTTACGGTTTTAAACTGTACTTGGGACTTTGACTACAAACAACCGAAGGGCTTGGCACACTTTAGCAGCAGATTTTTCCAAGATGCCCTATTCATCTCTGTCTAAATCTATCTAATGGAACAGACACATTGCTTTGTTCGCTAAAACTTGTCAATGGTGTGGGCGTAAACACAAACTGGAATTCTGACAGAACCTTCGATATGCAAGTCTCAAGCCTCAATAGCCTTGGTTTTATAAGCAATTAGTAGACAAACATATAAGCATACGAATCTTACACTTAAATATTGATTTTAAGATGTATTTATCGCCAGCATGCCGGTATGATTTAACACTATACGTCAATAACGATTTCTTTAGATGTACGCAATCAGTAGATATACGCGTAGTCACTAAACACTCCGATACACAATACACCATAGTTGCCATATACTGCTTACTTAGTAGAATCAGCGAAATTGTGTTTACTGTGAATGTTAAAACAATCTTACACTTGTGACAGAGACCACTCAACACCTTCTCTGTAAACGTAACGTGAAGCCGACTGCAACATAAGCCGCCAGTGGCTACTTGTGTTGGGACATAAAATGTCGGCTGAGCTCATACTGAAAAAGAACGATCCCGTTAAAATGTCTGTAAATGCATACGATAATCAACTTTTCTTATTGCCTCTCCTATTCCTTTCTTGCAAAACAATACATCACTATTATCCGTCGCAGACAAAATCCTTTCAGTTTTTTAAATGCAATATGTTTACCCCTGATCTCAGAGTTTCGATAAAATTATATTGTCTTATTTCTCCACGTGTCTTTTGTATTTTAATATAAATGAATATATTATTATGATATCTTATTTGTTCTTGTCTGCAAATATTACTTCGTTAATTGAAACAACAATGCTAAATTGTTTAATTGAAGAATAGCCAGTCATTAGTCGAAATGAATAATGAATGCAGAAGCAAATATGTTGCGCTTTTGTGATACATTTGTATTACCAGGCCTACCACTATTTGAATTGCATCAATATTTGAAGATGTCTTTAAAATAAACTCTGCTTGTCATTAGATATGCTTCATTTCGTTTCAAATATTCCATAGATATTAGATAAGATATATCATCACCGTTGCGATAGGGGAACAAGTTTCTTTGCGAAACGTATCGAGTGGAAACAAAATATCCTGTTTCCCTTCTACGTGTACAGTATAAAATACAATAATAATTAGACTGCAGTAAACGTTATCAGGCAATCGTGCAATTGTTGTTATTCGGAGTTTAACAGTTATTGTATACCTTACTCGCTAAGGTCCCGAATGAGGAAAATGTGACCAGAAAAAAACGTTCACGTCACGTAATCAACTTTATATCTAAACAGATATAAATCAGAAATATCAAAATGGGGAAATATTTGATACAACACCATAATAGAATACTCTTCTGAATGTGTTACTGACACAAATGTGATCTTAGTCAGATATCAATGTGATAAGCTATTATGTCCGCTTCTTTGTACAGGCTACAATGGCCGAGCGATTGTGTGTGATGCTGTCGGCACCCTACCTACATCGAATGCTTCAGAAACAGCTGCCCAAGTCCTCGAAGCAGCGCCACACCAACCACACCTTCTGTCTGTGTCAATTCATCGAACTTTTCATTGAGGACTTCTTCGCGTGCCTCACAAAGAAGAAAATGGCGAAGGAACTTCGTTTAGTTCTACACAAACATCTCAATTTCCTTGTTAAAAAAAAAACGCTACGAGAAAACGAGGACAAACTAGCAATCAGTGAAGACTTCAGTTTCATTTCTACGTAATCGGTCATGAAATTTTAAATGTTGCACATTAAATATTTGTTTGTATGTTTTTTTTGGGTTTGCATTTATTTTTCAAACAAGATTATATTGATACAGTAAGATTATAATTTAGGCATCAATTGGAGAATACGAAAGAGCAATAAGACAAGAATCTTTAAATATGTGCTGTAGATCTGTCACTAAGAAATGTTATTATATGCATGGACATTTCTCGCAATCACATTGGTAGGATCCTATACACGTGACCAGTCCACAAAAAAAACTCATGTAGACTGGTTATCCGGTGAATATCGATTTTTAAATATAGCCTGTATGGAAATTCCCCGGAACCTGTCATAGCGCATGCGCAGTTAGACTGGAACGCGATCTGTCAGACGACATTCGAAGATGGCTGCTGGCGAACGTTTCTCCTCCGTTAGGAAAATTACCAAAACTATTCGAGGATAAAGATGCTGTTAGCCATTGAACACGCAGTGCATGTCCTTCATGCGTATCTTAAGAAAAAGAACCCAGACGATGCCTTCGAAAGCTACAATGATGAACTGTTGTATTCAAACCTGGCTAAATTTTACACGGAGGCTCGCGTACAAAAATCAGAACCTTTTGTTTTGTTTTGTTTTATTTTATTGTTGAAGCATATAATAAAACAGTTATGGGCTTTTGTGCTGATAAATACAATGTGATATGAACCTGAAGGAGTGATATTGACCTCGGCTTCGCCTCAGTCAATGTCACTCTTTCAGGTTCATATCACATCTTATTATTTTTTCATATTATTCCCGACAAGAGTTTGGACAGGAGTGCATCACGTGTCCACCGATAAAAATCGATATTGACTTGGAGCGCGTGATTTTTGTTGAATGACTGGGTGTATCTAAAAATAGAATTATGACGTGTCTCCAAACGAACGCATCGTCCCGCTTCCATAGATTTTTGCTGTGATTTTTTTCCAGATTGCTAACATTACTCTTTTGAAAATAATAAAACAATTGTAGCCTTTGACTTCGGTCGATACCTGGATTTATCGACCCGAGAAAAAATATATTGACCTTGGACTGCGTCCTCTGTCAATATATCTTTTCTCGGGTCGATAAATCCAGGTATAGACCTCAGCCAAAGGCTATAATTGAATAATATTCACCAGCACACAAGTCCATACTTGTATAATGTAGTATGCTACGTACCTGAGTGTTTGTTATTCAATAGGCCTGGTTTGTTAATTAATGAAATAATTTACACAAATAATACCACAGCGCCGAACAAACGGAAACATATGAAGAGAAAAGAAAAATACGAAGCGAAGAGACATCAAAAGGGAATGAAAGGGATCATGAACTTCAATGAAGTCAGAAATAATTTGAGATGTCCTTATTACAAAAAACAATATCAAAGGATCATGCATAAGCACAAAAAGCATGGACTCATTTTCTTATGGTATAAATCAATAAGGCTTCTTTCCATGATGCCATGGTTTTTGAATTAAATGTGAACTAAGGGTATTTCAATCCGTGAAGTTGACTCAAATTTCTGTTGTTTAAAACACAGTCTAGGCTGGTCGGTTAATTACAGTATTGTTCTGGCATTTGCAAGCATTGCAAAACTGTTTAAGTAATTTAAATGTATTTATATAGTTAGGCATAAAATACTGATACATGTCAAACGTTAGTTATCCCTGGTAGTATTGCAGGCAAACATGAACATGTAACATATGTTCAACGGTGGTGCAGTACCAAAAACTCCCAAAGAGCTCTGGAGATTCTAATTTATACGGCGTAGGTAACATTATTTTGGGAAAAAGGAAATACATTTCTTTCGTATAACTCCAAAATCTGGCACGTCCTTAAATGACCATTAATTTGACGTAAATACAAACAAACCAAAACAATACCAAATCTTTTTCATTTTAAAAGGGCAATCTACTCAGGTAAAACAACGAACTAATTTAAACTCTTCTTCGTCATAGATACATAAATGTTCAGTACAGAGCACTGGGACACTACCTGCATACTCGACAATAGCAAATGCCCCTTAAAATTATCTTAATAATTAAGCTCGATTTAAAACAATATATGCATGTACAAACATGCATTCATTTCAGCTACTTGGCATCACATGAGTTTGTGGTTCATGTTCATGTGGTTTTGCAATGACCAAAAATAGCGTGCGCACACCGTGCATACATCGTTAACACACCGTCCGCACATCGTGCACACATAGTGCGCACAACTGTGCGATTTAACAATCGTTTGCCCCGTTGTGCGCTTCTACCCGCACAACTATGCGATTGGGTACAATTTGAAGATCAATATTACGGAATGAAAAAAATACGGAAAGCTCGAATGCATTAATGACAATTGTATGTATTACTGTAATTTCTCATCACAATAATGAAGATTATGTACAGTTTAACAATACGTGTTACCACGGAATTAGTCCTTGGTGTAACACAGCATTACAGTGACCGTTAGACTGTCAAGAATGGGTTTGGCTCCAATGTAACAGAACAGGTACATTTTGTAAATAACAATTTAATGAGTGACCGGAGTTTTACCTGGCCTGTACCGGACACATAGAGCTGATATGCGATACCGTATGACCGTAATGAAAACACAACTGGACGTTTAGTATTTGTTATTTGCATTCGGTTTGCCTATACATGTAGCTCCCCCTCACCTGTGTTTTGACAACCCTGGCCCTACCCGACGAAATACGTAAGCGCCCCGGGCGGGGGAAAACTACGGTCCAGGTACATGTACAAAGTGGCTATGTTTACCGGTATACGGGACTGTGTCGTAATTTCACATGTGTCGATTGAGGTCGTTTAAAAAATACCGAAAACAAAATTTCTAAATTTAAGAAAGTAAAGACATAAAGATAAGCTTACAGATGTAGGGAGAATATAGAAACATACCTACAAATCAAGTTTATATGTTTAAACACGAAACCGTTTATATTGTTAAGGAATTCCTCAATTTACACCAACCACGATTGTTATCGCACAACGTTTGTCCATCGTGCACATAATTGTGCGCAAGCAATGATCGTCCAACTTTCTATCGTTCGCACAACGTGCACACATCGTTCACACAGCGTGCACACCGATTGATGAAGCTAATCTTATGGAAATATCGTTATTTGTTTAAAACTAAACATTATATCAATTGCAAAAGAAACAGAACATGCCGATTGTTGTAACAGAACGGTATGAAGTAGTTCTATACTTGTAATTTAACAATTAGAAACACAAACTCTATCAGCTTTCTACAAATCAAAATCAGTGGAATTTTGTTAAAAGTAATATGCAGTTTTACATAAAAACATCAGTTCAAGGGAGACTATTCTAACTAAAAATACAACAAAAACACTTCTTGACTGTATCAATAATTGAGCAACTCAACGACAACATGTTATCATCATGAGTGCAAAGATTATTAAGAATTAAATCTTTTTTTGTCGATTTCATAGGGTGATGAATTGTTTTGATCTGAGAACTGCGAATCAATTCATGAAGAAATTGTTCAAAGAGCATTTCAATTCAACGCCCAATGAAATCAACGACAGCAAGATTAAATCTAGAACATGTGAAATTCTAAAAAATCTTTGTATTGATGTTATGTAAAAAAAAAAAAAAGCAATGCTTGTACATCATTGTATGACCATCATGTAAGCTGATATTTCAATACAGCAATATTATGATACGCAAAAATACAAAAATTGCATATGATAGAACGTTAAAAATCTGATAGCATGTATTCGTACGCACAGGAAATTTTAACCTGGCAAATGAAACATACATGATTTGGTAGTTTCATCGATCAATAAATATAAAAAAAACAGCGGTGCTTTCTTTTTATGTAATTAAATCTTAGTTCAATATGTCCTGTGCTTTTTTAGAATGATTCACCGTGAACAAGTTACATGCTTAATAAAATAAACCTATAACTCCATTCTATGTCAAGATCGTAATATAATAGGTTTTGACATCAATATAAACGAATTTAGAAATTCATACAATAGTTCCGCTTGTCATGGTTCAAGGTTGCATACCTGATGTCATACAGAACGACAATGAACATATGGTCCATATCTATAAAAATATGCCCACTTCACATATAGTACGAATCACTGCGCTACGTGATATGATATTATTTATCATTAAAAAATAACATATTTGCGACTTATCATTAAAACAATAAGTATTCACTAATCACATTTGCAACAATGGTATAACTATAATACATATAACAAAATGACCACGAGTCCACTACAAGGCTGCTGCGTTGATATCAGTTTTTACACAAATCAACAGTACTGTAGTTGATTTGAGCGCCCATTCGTCTCCGCCACAGTGTATGTGATGACCTCACAGGCAAAAATCAGTTTTCTGATATTGTGTATATAGATAAAGTCGACTGGGTTGATAACAGTTCGATATTTGTTCTGTCCTCCTTCTGATCAACACCATAGGTTGTAGATATGTTGAAATCGATATTCTTATTTTGCTCCCATTCTGAAATCCGTCTGAGCGGAATGCATATTAAGCCTCCAAGTCCAAGATTGATGCCACCGAAATAGAAAATTTATTGACTGCTGAGGACGTCGATTTAATTTAATAAGCAAAACGCGGCATTGATACTTATACAAAAAAACAGCGGTCAAAAATGCCAAACTTGTTTCATAAATCTTTGACTAACAATAACAACCTATGAGGTCATACATTTTGTATCGTTGGATAGATCGACAGAAACGTGAACAATTTACATTTTTCTCGGAACAATTAATTCAGATTTGTTCGTAAGCTTTCAACCAATTACCACGACGTTCCCTAAAAAATACCTCTCTGTTGCAAATATCGGAAAAGGTATGAATAAACTCCCATTTAGATATACACATCTCCCCCAAATTTGTACATGGATATTTATTTCGAGTTTAATATTAAAGTTTAGCTGTTTTTCCAGTTTCAGTGAATGTGTATATATTTTGCCCATTCAACAATAAAAGAACTGTTTACGTAGTTATATGTATG